CGGAGGGTAAACACGCGCCAGATAATAATCGCACACGCGCTCGCGCTGCTCAAGCACATTCGCACGGGAGCTTCATCTTCCCAAAGGGTTACGCGACTGCTGCTTCGTTTGGCATCGGCAGAAACTATATACGCGTTGTTAAGTGAGAGTGACCGTTTCCACTTTGGTATATAATACCACTGTGACTCGTTTCACATACCACATGTCCCATATGTCACATTCCGTCCGATTCGTTGTCGTCCACGGTCGTTCCAACGAATGTGACATGATATTCCAGAGCAAGGTGACACAGGTCACATTATATTACGTAATGTGACGTCACAGTCTTTTGGACAACAGTGTCGGCTCTCACCCCTTTGCAACATGTTATCGACACTGAATCAGGTGACTGCTGCAGCTGCGCCCCACCCGTCCCACTCCTGCACCTACTCTCTCGGGCCTCATACATGTACACGACAGACACTCTTGTAGCTAATCGGCGGCGGGGCAGGACCCGACCCCGCGAGTATCTCTCTGCGCGGACCCAGCTGCCGCGCCGGGCCGGGCGGGGGGCGGGGCGGGCTGACTTTGCCTGTCACCTTTCGGCGGCGCGGTGCAGCCCGGCCCGGACCGTTATCGGGGCCCGGGGACCGAGGGCCTCCCCGCCCGCGCCCGTGGCAGCGCTCTCCACACTGATTGCTCACTTCCCGTGAGGACCTGTCAGGTGGGCCCCGAGGACCCCGTCGGGGAGCTAAATGTTTGAGCACTGGGTTGGGGGCGACCGGGACACCAGGGCAACGCGGGGGCTGGGATGCTGCAGGGCCGGTCCAAGGTGGCCGGGGTCACGAGGGCCAAGGCGCCGGGCTGAGCGAGGTAATCCAAGTAATCCAGTTAATCCAGCTTGTCCTGCACGGTTGGCGGCCTACCGTCCCGACTCAACGACACGGAGCGACGGCGAGGTCCGCCCTCGCCGGGGTCATGAGGACCGAGCGGAGCGCGCGCGGGGGAAGCAGGACGGCGTTGATGAGCACGGCGACGAGCACAAGGCCGCGGGGGGGAGCGCAACAGTCGTGTATACGCGCGCGCGACCGGACGGGTGACAACGCGACGGGCAAACTGCGAGCAGCCCGACGGCGGGCGCGCAACGCGGGCCCGGCCTGGCGGCGAGGGCCTCCGCGCCCCGCCACGCCCCGCCATGCCCCGGGTGCTCACCGCGTCGCGGCG